CAATTAAATTGGACAGCAAATCAAATGCACTACTTAGTGTTATAGAAGGACCATGCTAATTTTCAACACTTGTCCATAGGAGGCTTTTAGGACAAAAATGCACTCATTTAAAATGTACAAATATAAAAGGAATTAAATATACAATTCATTAAACATGTGCTCCGTTGCTCCAATTTCAGCCAGTTACAGACATTGCGTGATGTCTGTAACTGGCAGAAGGTGGACAGTCTAAAAGATGGTTCTGAACTTAGGAACCACACAGTCCCCACTGACTGAGATGCATGCCGAAAAATAGTGATAGATCCAAACTCTTTTGAGAGCGAGGCACTAAATGCATGGATATTATTACATAGTTTCTTTTTGTGGTTCCATAATAAGATACGCCAACTTTAAAAGGTACACTGTGTAGCATTGAGATCATATGTTGCAGTCCAGGGTACTATGGGTGCTTCGAAGTACAATATGTTGGGGGTGACATTAGCTCAGTTGGTAGAGCATTGTCCTTTGAGCCAGAGGGTCGTTGGTTCGAGCCCGACCTTCACCATCGACTCCCACTATCTGCTGTCATTGATTAGATTAGATTTTAGATTCATTTTATTTCGCCATTTGCAGTATGTATACACCACATTGGAATACATTTGTAAAAGTTCCCCGTGTGCACAGGACAAGTACAGACACAAAACAACATTAAAAGACAAAAATAAAACAAATTTTAAAAACAGTAAACAAATGTCACAACAAATGTCACCGTGAAGTTGACCAACTTAAAACAGATCTATACGAGTGCAAAACATTAAAGTGCTCTATTCAAACTGTTAACAGCTCGTGGAAAAAAACTGTTAGCATGACGAGATGTCCTGCATCTCAGAGAACAGTATCTTCTGCCAGAGGGAAGAAGCTGGAACAAGGCTTTTCCTGGGTGGCCAGAAGAGTCTCTGATAATTCTCAGGGCACTGTTAAAAAGTCTGGATTGATAAAGAACCTCCAGAACAGGAAGCTCGCAGCCCACGGTCCTCTCTGCAGAGCGGAGCACCTTGTTTAAAGCTCTCTTTTCTTTATCTGTGATGTTACCGAACCACACAGACACAGAACCAACAAGCAAACTCTCAATGGTGCAGCGATAAAAGTTCAGCAGAATCTTAGAGTTAGTGGTAAATTCTCTAAGTTTCCGCAGGAAGTAGAGACGCTGACGAGCTTTCTTTACGACTCGGTCAGTGTTTTTAACCCATTTCAGGTCATCAGACAGAGTTAGACCCAGAAACTTACACTCCTCTACAATCTGCACTTGGGAGTTATCGATTGCGACAGGCAAATGAGAACTATTGCGACTGAAATCAAAGACCAGTTCGCATGTTTTGGATGCGTTCAGCTGGAGGTTGTTAGCCTTACTCCACTGAACCACATTTTGGATCTCGGCTCTATAAGAGGATTCATCGTTATTACTGATGAGACCGATGATGGTGGTGTCATCAGCATATTTGATGATCAGGTTAGAGTCTGAGGAAGACACACAATCATGAGTGTACAGTGTAAAAAGTAAAGGACTCAAAATACATCCCTGAGGAGATCCAGTGCTCACAGAAACAACATCTGAAAAACAGTCATTGATTTTCACTCTCTGAGATCTGTCAGTTAAAAAGCTATAGATCCATTTACACATGGCCACACTTAAACCCAGAGACATGAGCTTTTCAATCAGTATACCTGGGACAAGACAATTAAAAGCAGAGCTATAATCAATGAACAGCATTCTTGCAACAGATTTCCTATTGTCTAAGTGACTGTAGACAGAGTTCAGAGCAAAGGAGATGGCATCCTCCACACTCCTGTTCTGTCTGTAAGCAAACTGGAGTGGGTCAACACTCACAGGGATCTGGCTCCTAATGAAGTCCAGCACAAGCCGCTCGAAAGTCTTCATTAGGACAGAAGTGAGGGCCACAGGGCGATAGTCATTAAGGCATGTCACAGGAGTTTTCTTAGGAACTGGGATAATGGTCGACTCTTTAAAGCAGTTCGGCACAGTACAGTTCCTTAGCGACAGGTTGAAAATGTCTGTTAGCACAGGAGCAAGTTGCTCAGAGCACAGTTTCAGGACACGAGGAGGGATGCCGTCCGGGCCAGGGGCTTTCCGGACAATGGTGCTGGACAAGACACGCCTGACTTCCTCCTGAGTCACGGTGAACGCACCTTGATTGAGGCAATCAGGAAAGACAGTAGGAAAGGCATCGGCAGATTCGAAGCGGCAGTAGAACGTGTTCAGCTCATTAGGCAGAGCTGGGCCAACAGATCCGATTTTCCCGGCACTAGGTTTCCAGGACGTGATGGCTTTAATACCGCTCCACATGCGCCGAGGGTCATCTTCCTTAAAATAACCCTTTAACTTGTCCCCATAACTGCACTTTGCAGATTTAATAGAACGTTTCAATGCATAACAGGATAGCTTATAGGCAACTGTATCGTTAGATTGAAACGCCAGAGCACGCTCATGAAGTTTTTGTTTAACTTCCGCATTCATCCAAGGGTTTTGACTGAGATGTACTTTAATGACCTTCTGTGGGACACAGCAGTCAATACAGAAGCGTATGTATCCAGACACAGCGTCACAGAATTCATTAACATCCTCTGATTGAAACACAGACCAGTCAGTGGCATCAAAACACCCTTGTAGCTTCATGCTAGCCTCCTCGGACCAACACTGCACAGTGCGTGGGGTTGGTTTATGTTCCCTGCTCCTCTGAGAGTATGAGGGAAGAAGGAGAACAGAGGAGTGATCGGACTTTCCAAATGGAGGTCTGAGACTGGACCTGTAAGCTCCCTTCACATTGCTGTAGCAGTGATCCAGAACATGTGCTCCTCTTGTAGCTCGAGTCACATGTTGGTAGAAATTTGGGAGTACAGTCTTTAAATTACATTTGTTAAAATCCCCAGCGACAATAATCACTGCATTAGGATGAGCAGTCTCGTATTTATGAAGGATCTCGCTCAGATCCTGTAGTGCTACAGTATAGTCCGCTCGTGGGTGGATGTAAACAGCGCATAAAAATATCACAGAAAACTCCCGCGGAAGATAAAAAGGGCGACAGCTCAAGACCAGGCATTCCAGATTGGCAGTACATGTTTGGTTCACGATGCGAGTGTCCGTGCACCAGCGCTGATTAATTAAAAAGCACACACCTCCACCTCTGGATTTCCCCGTGGTCTCCTTTTCTCTGTCCGCGCGGTGAACGGTGAATCCCGGGGGCTGAACAGCAGAGTCCGGGACGCCTGGATGGAGCCACGTCTCGCTGAGGCAGAACACAGCGCAGTCTCGGGCCTCTCGCTGGCTCTGGACCCGACACAGAAGCTCGTCCGTCTTGTTGGGCAGAGACTGGACGTTGGCCAGGTAGATGGAGGGCAAAGGGGTCCTGGAGGAGCGGCTACGAACGAGCAGACCGCCTCGTTTTCCCCGGTGTCTGCGCCTCCTTCGTCGGCTCCCGGTACCCAGCTCCACACCGCGGAGAGCACGATGGAGACGCCCAGTCCCCCCGCTCTGTTTGCGGCCATTGCCGCGGCCCGCCTGCCCTGTTTGACGGGCCTCACGAGTGGGGCACTCAATAAAGTCCAAGCACCTCAGTTCGGGTAAGACCTGCGATACTCCACAAGCTTGGTCCCGAATGTAAAGAAGTGTCTCCCGGTCGTACTTCACGGTGGCAAGTGTATCACAGACGAAAAACAACATAGAACAGACAGTGCACACCAGAGCTCTTACTGAGGCGCCCTGACCCGGCGCCATCTTGAAACTTCATTGTGTCCTTGGCAAGACACTAAACCTCTGGGAACACCTGATGCCACAGTGGGGCGGCTGCGGCTGTAAAGTGCCAAACTGCTGTTGTGTCCTTAGGCAAGACACTTCACCCCCATTGCCTAGAATGAGTCTGGTGTGTGTGTGAATGGTTGGTGGTGGTCGGAGGGGCCGATGGCGCATATTGGTTGCCTCGCTTCTGTCAGTGTGCCCCAGGGCAGCTGTGGCTACAGTAGTAGTTTATCACCACCGTGTTTGGAGTGAAAGAATAATGACATGTAAAGCATCTTTGAGTGTCCAGAAAAGCGCTATATAATACCGATGCATTATTATTATTTGACAGTGGTCCCCAACTCCCAGTCATTCCAACCAGGTCGCCAAGGAAACAATCCTTTAGTATGATAAAGGATCTCTCCGGATCTCTCTATACGTCTTGGTCACTATGTGGAGGCTCAAATGTAAACAAAGTCCACGTGCTACACAGAGGCTCTAAGTATAACTTACACAGTGTGAAAAGAGGAGACGCATGGCAGAATAAGACGACTTTTGGAGCTTAAAACCATGATAATCAGAGAAGCCAGGACATATACACAGCCGCTGCAGAACTGTGGCTAAAAGCTCAGATTATAATTAGCTTTCACCATGGTGGCGCATCAAAAGGCAAACATTCAAACTCACGCTGTTGGTAAACAGTATTCTGGCGATTGTATTGCAGGGGATTCCGTGTGCTTTGCATATTTTATGCTTGTCCCTTGAATAAGTGTAGTTGAAACTTGTGGACATAGTAGTTGGACTGCGCTTAAAGCACGTCAGAACATATTGCCTCGTTCTAATTACTGAGGATCTGTAAAACCCACAGCAATGTGCCTACTATTGTTTGAACTCTGCCTCTCTGTGCGTGTGATCTGTGATGTTGATAGGTTTTCTGTTATGATGCCGGTTTCTAGATTTTTGCATAATTCTTTTAGAAAAAGATTCTTGTTTGGGTAGTTATTTTACATAACTGTGGTCCTCTATGATCCCTTTTTCCAAGAGTCCTCCAGCTCTCATGGACATTTATAGGTAACATTCTAAGTTTATGAAAACAATTCAAAAACATGGTGGAGGTTAATATTCTTCAAAAGGTCACATCGGTTGTTGGTTAATAGTTTTTTTATTTGGAGCAACTGTATAAATTACATAGAGTACCTTTAAGCGTTTTTTTGTGTGATAATTTCACCTCTCGTTGTGGGATATCAAAACGTTTTTCTGGTGAAGAAAGAGATCTAGTCCCTTGTTGGTATTGGCAATCCGGGCCAAAACATCAGCGATGAGAGTGAGAGTCACTGAGGGATGGTTTAATTGGGTCTGTAAACACACAAGAATCAGGATTGTTAAAACGCAAAGTTAAAATTGTGTGTTAAATTGTATGAAGATTGGCACGTTCAATGATATAACTCTAGATATAGTAGCATAATCAGAATCAGAATTCACAAGTCACAAAGTAGGAATTTGCTTTGGTTAATGTTGCAGACTAATGCATAAGTAATAAAATAGTATAAAATAGGGTCACACTTTAGTCCAGCCTTCACTAATCAAAAGTTAATTAAGTGCTAATTATTGTATAATGTATGGTTAATTAGCTCTTAATTGGTATTTATTGAGCACTTAGTAGTCCTTATTCAACACTTAACTAAATACTAACTGACACTTTCCCATGTGGGTTATAGTTAGGGTTAGGACTAGGGTTAGGGCTAGGGTTAGGGTAAACATATTAATTAAATTAGAATAAATAAATACACACAATAGACATTTAACAGTGCACATAATCAATATATACGTTTCCAGAGGTATGACAGTATAAAGTTGAATAGTGTAATGTAACTGGAGTCGCAGAAGGCTCCAGTTACAGTCCCTGGAGTTGTGGCTGACCTTGTGGCCGCTGAGCAGAGCTAGAACAGGTGCCAAGAGGGTCTCTATCACCGGAGCCTGGTGCAGACTATCTGCAGCACACTCTGTCCTTTCACACAAGCTCCACAGCACTTCCATCACCAGACCACTGGGGGAAAACCAGTCTGACAACAAGCAAACCACATACATTTGTCAAAACTAAGTACTGTAAATACCACACATGTGATGGTACACGGCAAAAATATCATCCATTTATCAACTAAATGAAAAGAAAAATAGTCAAAATGTGTGTTTAATGATGATGCATATATGGTCAAATGTTAATGTTTTGATAATATATTACTACAGTGGCTCAGTTGGTAGAGTATTGGCCTTTGAGCCTAAAGGTTGTGGGTTCGAGCCCACCACAAGACTTTCTCCACCAACTCCCACTGATGTCTGCTGTCATTGTGCCCTTGGCAAGACACTCTCTGGGAACATCAGATGCCACAGTGGGGCGGCTGCTGCTTTAAAGTGCCAAACTGCCGTTGTGTCCTTAGGCAAGACACTTCACCCCCATTGCCGAGAATGAGTCTGGTGTGTGTGTGTGTGTGAATGGTTGGTGGTGGTTGAAAGGGCCAATGGCACATACCGGTTGCCTCGCTTCTGTCAATGTGCCCCAGTTTATCACCACCGTGTATGGAGTAAATGAAATATGACATGTGAAGCGCCTTTGAGTGTCCAAAAAAGCGCTATATAAAACCGATGCATCATTATTATTATTGTTATTGTTATTGTTATTGTTATTGTTATTGTTATTATTATTATCATTATCATCATCATCATTATTGTTATCATCATCATCATCATCATCATCATCATCATCATCATCATAGTAGTGAACTCTGAGGAGCATAGGGACTGGCTCCCTGCTGGACTAAACATCGGGAAGCAGCATTTCAGATTTATGCCGCTAAAATCTGGAAGTCTTCCTGAAAATATGGGATAGGCTTCGACAATTCTGTTTAGCAGTGCATGGGAGATTGTAGCTTCACTCTTTTTTATGTACTGGGATAATTTATGATTCTAATGCCTTGGCCAATTTTTCTAATTTTTCTTTTCTTGTTTTGTAAGCACTTTGAGTTGTCTTGTGTATGAACTGTGCTAAACAAATAATTTTGCCTTGCCTAGTGATAAAAGTAGTGATAACAGTAGTGGAGATGGTAATAGCAGCAGTAGTAGGTGTTGTAGTAGTAGTAGTAGTAGTAGTAGTATCACAAGGCTTGTCAGCAGACAAAGTATGACAAGGTTATTGATAAGATTTGCCCTGAGGTCGGTATCCATGGCTCATAGGGAGGATCTCGGAGCTTTCTCATCCAAAAGCCAAAGAGGAAGAGGAGTTTAAATCCCACCTGAATGTGACACATCTCTATGATACACCTTTGGGTGTTGGTACATGATGTTGATGAGGAGGACGACCAGCTCTGTCAGACTGACCGGATCTGAAAGAAAATATAATCTTCAGACAACCCTAACCCTTACTCTGAGATCACAAACCTCATGGTTCAAAGAAGTACACATTTCAATCACTTATTTCAACATGGGTACAATCTTATTCGTCTTATTCATACCAACGTCTTAGTACGGCTATGGATCACATTTGACACAGAAACATACAGGGAAACACTGCTTTAAGATTAAGATTAAGAGATCCTTTGTTTGTCCCACAGTGAGGAACTTTCAGTGTTGCATCATCAGTTACAGAACAGTAGGAATGAGGAGCAAACAACAACATAAATGTACAATAATGAAAATAAAATTAAAAACTATATCTAATTTTAGCATAATAAAGAAGCAAATCTAAAATCTATAGCTTTAGCATAAAAAAGAAGCAAGTACAAAATCTCTAGCTTTAGCAAATTAAAGGAATAGTTAACCGTTTTTACATACTGACATATGTTCTTACCTTACCTTAGACTAGTTAATATGTACCTGTCTGGTCTTAGTCCGTGTGCTCTGTCATGCAAACGGAGCAAAAACGGGAGCACAAACGCAGCCTCCTCTGTATACTGTATAGTACCCAAAAGGTAGCTCCCGCTAGAAGCTACCAAACTCTTCCAAGTGTTCCCTATTAAATGTATATAGTTACGTGACGTGTTACACTGCAAAGTATAGTAACACAGAAATGTAACTGTCGATTTTCTCAGCGGATAAAACGGGTACTATATTGTGAGGCGTAGTAATCTGAGGAGCGCTACGTCCGCGCACTAACTTCTCTCCGGAGACTTCTCTCTCGCTCACTTCCGTCAATAGAAGCAGCGTGACTTGTAGTACGGAGAGAAGTTAGTGCGCGGACGTAGCGCTCCTCAGATTACTACGCCTCTCAATATAGTACCCGTTTTATCCGCTGAGAAAATCGACAGTTATTTTTCTGTGTTACTATACTTTGCAGTGTAACACGTCACGTAACTATATACATATAGGGAACACTTGGAAGAGTTTGGTAGCTTCTAGCGGGAGCTACCTTTTGGGTACTATACAGTATACAGAGGAGGCTGCGTTTGTGCTCCCGTTTTTGCTCCGTTTGCATGACAGAGCGCACGGACTAAGACCAGACAGGTACATATTAACTAGTCTAAGGTAAGGTAAGAACATATGTCAGTATGTAAAAACGGTTAACTATTCCTTTAAGGAAGCAGGTCTCAAACATACAACGTTAGCATAATTAAGAAGCAACAAAGTAACCCAGTAAAGTGACAGTGGAGACATGTTGTTCCATGTTAAAGCTAAGAAGCTAATCTTAAATTTAGACTATATAAACACTGCGGGCCAAATGAAATAATAGATTTTGTAGGATTAATACACTTTGTAGTTTTTGTAATTAATTATAACATGATAAGTGTAGTGAACAAGCTTATAAAAAGACATGCTAAATTATTTCTCATTGCTTTGTGTCACGATAAGTACTGAAGTACTCACAATTTTCTGTGGTAGACTGTACCAGGCAGGCCCCAGGCCAATCAATTTATTGTTAAAAATAAGAGATTATCTACATTTAATTTATGTTAATGTAAACAAGTAAAAGATTTTGCATTTTATTTTATTATCAAATATATATTTATATATTTGATAATAAGTAGGTATATATTTACACCTACTGTAATATAAACCTTTTTATGTGGTTATGTGGTCGGTCCCCAAGGACTCTGTTGCCTGGGGCCCCGGGGTACCCTTGGAACGCCACTGGTCAGGTCTGCCGTGTTTGTTAGTCCTCATTGTTCATTGTACTTTTATCATGCAAGTTTACAGTGCATGTGGTTATTGGAGAGGCCGTGCATGAAAAAAGGAGTGGTTTGAGAGATAATGAGGCATTCCATAGTAACAGCTTATTTAACGAGCGAGAGGTTAATAAATGTTTTATTATATGACTATTTTTAATTTATGCAAATAACAATCAGTTTCAACTAGCAAAAACACATAAAACCAAACTGTAAAATCGTGATATGAAGAACTTGCTTATCAGATGATTGAGGTCGCCCTCTGGTAAGTTCTCAATCTCTTCTGTGTCTTTACCAATGCTTTTCAGATATTTGTGAAGTATGTTCATGTTCGACTGTTAGGAGTTGTGTTTTCGTCGTTATTTGCTGTTAATACTTCCTCTGGCTCTTCGAACTCGTCCGGATAATAGAATTCACTGGGAGAATGCTCCCAGTCGTCGCTCATTATTTCTTTTTTACAGAGGAAAGATATCAAATTTGATACGCGGTGCAAACCAATTGTCATGGTAACGGTCTGAGATGGGAAGATATCAGACCGCAAATCAGCCAATCAGAGCACACATACGATCCAAGTCATATAATAATAGAGATTATGAACTTGAGCAGATAATTTTATCGTCAGTGAGGGAGAGGCAACATTGGAAAACAATAAACCGTAAGTGTATCTGTATAACGGTACAGATGTCAGAGGCGACTGTCTCGGCATGACAGGAGTTGTACAAAGAACATTACCTTTATGTGTGTGTACTTTAACTGGAAAAAGCCTTCTTCCATTGTTGTAGATCAGCAGCATCCCCAATAAGGAGAGGGAGTGCACAAAGAGGGCGTAATCTAGCTCTGCCTTTGTGTAGACGCTTCTCTGACCTGAGAAGAGAGTTATGGACAAAAACAATGTTTGGTTAATATTCTGATTCAAATAATATGAAAAGAGAGCTCTCAAGTTCATGGGATCCTTAAGTCTAATGACGTACATTACATTCAATGCTAAAAATTATAGACGAATGCAACATGTTATTTCTAGCATGTTTTTCTATCGTAGTAGCTTGCAGTTTTGATCTTTTTATTGCTGATATGATCCATATATTCAAGATTAATGTATTACGTCCCGTAGGAAATGTTATCTTGGACTCACAGGCTGCTACATTGAAAATACACATAAGACAGACATAAAACACAACACAGTAACACAGACATAAACCATCACCGCTCTGCACGATGGCCTGCATTCAGGAGATATGGGTAGGAACTTGTACTGGTACCAGTTTAGATATCTTTTCTTATTTCTAGGGGGAAATGGGAGGAGCTCATATTGAGAGTAAAGGACATGAGAAGGATCTGAGGTGATTTTCTTTGCCTGTCTAACAACAGTCTCAAATATCTGCTGCAAAGATGGATGCTGCCTAACTCCCATGACCTTAAGTGCTGTGCGCGCCAATCTGTAAAGTTCTGCTTTTGTATAGGCCGCACTCAAATATAAGCCGCAGGTTTTCACGTTGTAATGTTAAACTTAACCAACAGCTGATAAAGTTTAACTGCTTACGACATGATTTTCTGATAGTTGACATGTGAGGGACAAGGCTTGGTAAATAAATCAATAAAAATCTGAGGATGCAAACTCACGTTAGCATGATTGCCATAAATGTTAGCTTTCGTGACTCATTGACCATTATTTATTTGGACAATAATTGAGCGTCCTATAGCCACTAAACCTTGACAGAGTTATAATAATGCTTACCCGATATATGTGTGTATATACACTCACCAGTTTTCGTTATGTTTGCCTCCTTTGTCTCTTTTGTTCCTTCAATGTGCTTTTCACAGGATTCTTTATACTGAATGCACTCCAGGAGATTTAAGACAATCTGAAAATAATAAAATAAATAAACAATTAGCATGAAAGGTGCTTAATCTCAGAATCTCTGCTGTCAACAAGTAACCACACTGTTGCAGTTACTTTAAGCCAATGCGCACATAGGAATAGTATCAACTTCCTACGCACGCCAAAGCCGTATAAAAATGCTGTAAACCCTGATCCTTTTGAATGAATGATTGATTCAGGGGGCCTTTTGATGTAAACTTGGTAGAAACAATGGATTTACTCAGAGGAAAGAAGTACAAAGCCGAGGTTATTGATTATTGATTGGAGCGAACTCACAAAAGATTTGTATTTCTTCTCAAGGAGTCTGAGAACCACAGTTCTGCTGTAGTGCCCATGCTGAGAGACAGGGAGAGAAAAGTAAAGTTAAGATTCTTCTTTTGTTTGGGTTAAAAAATGGGCATGTAAAACACAATTGACGCAGTAATGTAGACACTATGCAAGTACAGTACGTGTTTATATAAAGAAACATACCATCCATTTTTTAAACCAAATGGCTTTAATATCTAGTAGTGCCAAGAGATGCAAAGGTTCCAGAAGTTTTTCTGATCTGGGTGAAGATGAAGCACTCTCAGAATGACATGCAAACAAGGAGAAAGTGCTCTCAATTATTTCCTCCATGTATCTGCAATGAAAACCAACAATAAAATATAGCAAATTTCCAATAACATAAGTTTACAAGAAATGAAAAACTCACTTCTCAGGATGACGAATCCAAAATGTTGTAACTTCTTTTTGAAAATCATTCATCAGCCGAATCTGAATAAAATGAATATTTATTGTCCAAGCCGAGTCAAGGAGCATCCACAGTACTTGAAAAAAGATACCTGTTTTAGAAGTCGACTGATCTCAGGTCTGTTTATGTCAATGCTGTCTGAGTGAAGCTGAATCTTCAGAGAGCTAAAACTGGATTCTATCGTTTTGGCTGCAACAAGATAATCCATATTCAACAAGATGTATCAATATTACAACCTCAATTCTAATTCTACAGCCTCAGTCCTGATTCTATAGCCTCAGTATTGGTTCTATAGCCTCAATCCTGGTTCTATAGCCTCAGTACTGGTTCTACAGCCTCAGTCCTGGTTCTATAGCCTAAGTCCTGATTTTATAGCATCACTCCTGGTTCTAGAGCCTCAGTCCTGGTACTACACCCTTAGTCCTGGTACTACAGCCACAGTTCTGGTTCTTCAGCCTCACTCCTGGTTCTACAGCCTCACTCCTGGTTCTACAGCTTCAGTCCTGGTTATACAGCCTCAGTCCTGGATCTATAGCTTATTCGTCCGTGGGAATAGATCCCCAATGTTTCTTAACTCATTCACTGCCATTGACGTCTATAGACGTCAATCGCTTTTTTTTTCGTTTTTTTCTTTCTATGGCTCGTCAAGGCTCTTGTGCATCCTGTGTCAACATTTCAGACCTGTAAACACTTTGGAACCGATCCTGTAGGGGGCAGAGGTGACACTGTGGCCAGATCCAGGGAGGGAGAAGGGGGCATGTGGTGCTGTGAGCAGCAAACAGCCAGAGGAGCAGCCATGCTTACACAAAGGATCGCGGATCTGAAAAGCTCACGCAGCTAACGCTGTTTGAGAGCCTGTTCAGTCATCAAACGGATAAATAAGAAGCAGCTAGATGCCACGATGCTAGTTCTTCAGGTTTTAGTTAACATGAGACTCCAGGATCCTCGGAGGCTTCTCCCTCCCTCCTCGTCCAGCTGCTGCGGCAGCGGCTCCTCCCCCCTCCGTCGTAATGTGGTAAGTTGCTTTTCACTTCAACATGTTGCATTTACGAGTTTATTTCTCCCCTTTGTCCAATGTAATAACAGCCCCTCCAGGATTTTGCGCGCAATTGTTGATTGATGAATGATTATTGCGGGGTAAAATGCTTGATTACGCGGGACATTTTTCTAAAAGTTTCCCTGTTGAGTTTGGAGGCGTGTGAGTCTGGCATGCAGCATTAGCTGCTAGGGAGCTATGGATGATGTTACCGTGTGGTTTATAGAAGGGACAGGGGAAGGTGATCCATGGCAGACCGGTTAGCAGGTCCCATGGTGAGCAACAAGTGTTAGATTTACCGCACCATGTTGTGCATTCTGCTGTGGTGCGTCTCACTGTGGAGGGTGCGTCAGGAGCGCGCCCGCTGCTGCTTTGGAACAGGGAGAGAGACTGACTCTGTTGCTCTGATCCCGGAGTCTGCGTGATTTTGCGTTCAAACATTGAGAGATTCTGGAGGGAGTGACTATAGCAATCACTGGCTTATACTATAGTAAAAATAAACATAAAGTAACGTTTTTAGCGAGTATTGAAGAGGTTTTTTTTATCTCAATGTCATAGCTGCTGAAGCCAAAACACTTGTTATAATGTGAAAATGTATGGTGATTTTATATTTTCCTTTGTGTTGTAGATTGTTGACCCCAAAATGCTGCAGCAGAGCTTGATTTGGATCAGCAGCTGACTTCTGCAGCTCTTCATAACTGATGAACTTCTGGATCCTGGATCTTGTTGTCGAACAGACAAAGCTGTATGCAGCACAATATTTCAGTGCACACACACAGCGCGTCTCCCATTCAGCAGAGAAAATGCATGGAAGCCAGTGACAGTCTAGCAGCTAAAAACCTTTTTTGGTTTGACATTTCTCACTGGGTTTGTAAAAAAAAAACTAATCTAGAAATGTATTGGGAGTGCGGAGGAAGTAGATTCACCCCACACTTCAGCAGAGTGTGGGTTCACCTAATTACTATTCTTTATAAACTAAAGTAAAATTGTTTCACAAAGTGTTCAGAAAGTGTTATTTTTACGGTATATTTGTATACAAAGTGTTTTATTGTATACAAGTTGAATATTTTATGTGTACATATGACAATCCTTTGAGTGTATTGTGTGTACACGTTTAATTTGTTTAAAAATAATCATACATTAAAAATACAATTCAAAGTATTGTTTCTGTTTTGTGTCATAGTAAGAAACTGTCATACATTGTAAAATATCAGTAAAGACAAAAAAAAAAACACTTTTCTGCTTGAAAATGCGCGTTTCACAAAAAGGCTGTTTTCTCCAAATCTTGGTCAGGAAACAGCATTTTGTGTGAAAGTTACCTATGTTGCACTCTCAATTGCTAAAAAACTAAAAGGGTTAGAAACTTACTTTTTTTTAAAAATGAAAGCCAAGGGATAGAGCTTTCATTTGGTATGTTTCATACTTGTGTCAACCAAGGGCTCAAATTTCTATGCGGTTCGGAAAAACACTAAAAATGTCCAAAATCTCTGGCAGTATGAGGGATGCTGCTTTTTAAATGGCTGGCAGTGAATGAGTTAAAAAACAAATTCCCAATGTTTTTTTTTCTTTTAGTTGCTGATGGTCCTGTGATGATTCAGGACTTTTAGGAACAACTATGAACATTTATGCACATTTATTAACATTTAGGCACATTGGTCATCCCGCTCCCTATGGACCAATGGCTCCTATGAGTTTTATTATTGCATTTCCTGTGTTCAAACTTTTGGATTCTCTGATCATTGTAAAGTCTTCTGAGAGGAGTTGTTGAATTTAAGGGCTAAAATATCTAAAATACATTGAATTGAATTGCATTTTGTGTCTTACCTAAGCCTGTGTATATCTCTCTAGTGAGATTCAAAGGTGATGAGGAAAAGCTTTTGGCAAAAAACTGCAGTACATGATCCTAAACATAAACACATACATACAGTTATGATTGTGCGACGTGCAAGAACAACATCACAATATAAACATCACAGACGACAGACTCACACTGAGGTCTGGCTCATTCAGAGCTGTACACAAGTTTGTGCGCAGACTGCTCCAGCTCTCACAGCTCAGGACGTCAGAGGGCGGAGCAGAGCAGAGAGCCAGAAGAGCCTCCCATCGCACCTGACGCATGAAACATGAATCAGATTATTGAGCTCATGGTTCAAAGAAACTCCTTTAAATTACCTCTTTGGGTTTACTTGAATCAAGGTTTTCATTCAATACTTGCAGCTGTTCTTGTCGGATAAATGCATAACTCTGAAATAAGTAAAGGATAATAAGTCATGTCAAAATTTGAACGTTTCTAGTTTAATTTTTTAATCCCAGCCCATAGGTTTGTAACACTTTATTCTCCATCCATCCATCCATGCATTTTCTTCCGCTTTATCTGCGGAAGCAGCAGACTATGCAGAGATGCCCAGACTTCTCTCTCACACACACTTCATCTCCTAAGATAAGATAAGATAATGTCACATTTGGCATAGATAGAATCCCGGGAGAATCCCGAGGGGTTCCCAGGCCAGCTAAAAGACGTAGTCCTCCAGCGTGTTCTGGGTCTTCCCCTGGGCTTCTATCCGAGATCTTGTTTTTTCGGTCATTACCCAAAGCTTATGACCAGAGGTGAGGGAGGGAACAAAGATTGCCTTTCAACTCCTTCTTTACCACACCGGCCCGACACAACTCTGACTGCAGACGCTGCTCCCTCTGTACCACAACAGTCTGATACAGCGACCACATCACTGCACACACTGAACCGATGGTCTGCCTCACTCGTGAACAAGACCACTGAGATATTTCAACTCCTCCAGGAGTTGAAATATCTCAGAATGGTGAGCAAGGCACCATTCTCCGGTCGAGATTTCTTCTCACATTTTTAATAATTTGATTGATTGATTCCCTGCCCATTGTTGCATGCAGCCTGACAGAGTGGGCTGACTCAAACTCTCAATGCACCAAGCATCATGGTATTATATAAAATATATATATATATATATAAAAATACATTATTGCAGTGAAATATGGAACATAAATTGAAAACTACTGCTGTTTTTGTTTGCATCAACAAGATGATGAGGATGATGGTAAAAATCAGGAATGTCATTTGAAAATCCTAATCTATTTGCAGTCGCTTAAACGTAGTATTTATAATAGGGGAAGGCAAATATAAGCTTTTTGCTCCGGCCTTCTTTTCTTTGTATCTTGAAGTTAAATGTATCTGTAAAAATACACTGTGTAAACTACACGACGGCGATGACGACAACGGCGACTACCATTCAAAATTTGAATCTTTTACTACTACTACTACTACTACCACTACCACTACCACACCTGGTTGAAGGAGGAGTCACTGTCAGAGCAGTCGTCCTGAGTGTTTGACTGACTGAGCTGTGCCTCTCTGTGCAGCTCCTCTTTTCGCAGTTGATCCTCCTCAAACTTGCTGATTAAAGACTCCACCACCAGAGCCATGGTGTTCTTCAAGCCTTGCATCATTTGCTGGTACCTGAACCAAACAAAAAAAATACATTTGTGAATTTGTTGTAGTGAAAATACAAAAAACAAATAATTCACTAGTTAATGGTGAAATAGAATCAGTATCAGTCTGTACAACAAGAACTCCTGAGCTTGTAAATCTGTATTGATAATTTACTAGTCACTTTCCCTGCTGCTGCTGCTATTATTACTACTACTTATTCCTGTCATAGACTCTGCTGGTAAAGTACAATAATAACCATCTGTAAATGTGAAAAGTTCTGACTGCCTACAGTGTATACTCCACAAGTGTACTTATATTTTGAACAAAGAGCAATTATAGCTTATTACCAGTTTATTATCTACTGCCTCAAATATTTTCCCTACTGAGGAAAGAATAAAGGTTCTCTCATCTTATCTTATGTTGTTAGTCAAAAATAAATACACAATACATGTCAAATCCAGATTGAATAAATATTCAAAATGACATACTCCACTGATGCCCTTGTTTTTTGCGTGACAGAGTGGACCACTGTGTCAGGACCAGATCCAACAGCATGCTGTCCATCTCCTTTGGTTAAGCTCTTGATCTCCTCCTCCACTACAGACCCCAGTGAAGTCTCCATATACTGACGAAGGTACTTGACAAACTCATAACTGCAACAATGAACATACAGGAATGAGATACTACTCTATATAATGCCAAGTGAAAATAAAAGAATATTTTTACTTATGGAAGTTTTTATCTGTTTCCTCAAGATGCAGAAGGACTTCTTCGGCGCACTCAGTTGATGGTGCGTTGGAAATCCTATCATTGATGCTCTGGAGGAGCTTTTTGAGGAGAGACTGCAGCTCCAGCTCATCTTCTGGTGTCAACTGAGACATATCTACAGCAAGCGCCTAAAAGTTACACGCATCGAATCAAGTTGTATTCTTGCAGAGCTTTAATCAACAACCTTTTCTACTACAGCTATGTATTCGGGCCACTTGAACTTTTAGTTACATTTAATCATTCTATAGATATTCTGTATTGTGAGAAAAACATTTAAAACTTTTATGTAAACGTGCTAGAATAGATCCATGACTTTTGGCCATCTTAAAATGTCATGGTATGGTAAGTTTATTTGTATAGCACAGTTCACACACAAGGCAACTCAAAGTGATTAACAAAAAGAAATAAAGAAACATCAACATCACACTAAAATCATCCAAATAAATAACATCAATACATTGAAAAGAGTGAAGATGTAATCCAGTATTCAGTTGTAGCTATGCTCTGTGCTCCTCTGTGTCTGAGTTGGTTCATGTGGCAGTGGCACTGACTTAAACTCCATAAAGCTAACACAAATTATCAAATAGAGTCAACGTTAGTTTACAAACATTTATTACAAGCAAACCAAAGTAGCATTACGAAGCTAACGGCTAAACTTGGTGCAGAAACATTTTAGCAACAATCGTGCATTTCGCTTACCAACTGCACTGATCAGCAATTATAATCCACGGTGTTTGGTCTGTGTAAGAAGCACCTCTGTATCAGGTTATCATAAAAGATAAATGGGTTTATGTTTTTCGGGATGTTATCGCCAAGTATCATTTTTGACAGTACAACATCAGTGAGCGTCTCTATGGAAACCTTCAGCAATGTGGCTTCCGGGTTTATCTGTTGCGTTCATGTGCAGTAGAAATTACTGTACCACTAACAGAATAAAGATAAACTCTTAGCTGTTGTTCTAGTTCAAAAGGCTCATTCATTAAAGTACCTAGTATATGACTCAAGACACGTGTTATACAATGAGATATTTAAATAACAAACGTTTAATATGTATTTGAATGGAAAAAAAATAAACACACTTTTACCATATCAGCTCGTAAGAAACTAGAATCAAATGAAAATGTTAAAATGAATATTCTCTTATGCTTAGTGATTAACCAAAACAAGACACCAAAGCAAACGTACAAACATTTTTTCAAATAATTGTGAGAATATCACTTTATCCGGGTGACTATGAATCCAGCACTTTGACAGCCTTTGTCACGTGACGCTCAATGTTTTGGTCGTGTTTGGCTTATCTCTTTTCTGCGTATGATAAAAACACACGACTTCAATGTAACGTTAAATAATTCGTATTCCTTCCAGTATATGTGTGTTCGCTTCATATATTTGAAGCACACGTGTATAAAACATTGTTCTTGGAGCCCAACTAGCTAGCTAACTGAACTCATTTTAGCATGGCAGCAGTTGACAGCTTCGCGTTGTTGTACAAAGACATAGCTCGTTCTTGTAATTATTATTATGAAATGTTGGCTTTGGTGGGGGCTCTGTACACGGCGAAAAAGGTGGTGATTCTCCTGAGAAGCTGCTGCTCATTTTTTAGGGTGCACTTTTTACCCCGGATTTTTCCCACTAAGAACCTAAAGCAGAGATTTGGGGAATGGGCTATCGTTTATGGTAAGGATCTATGTTTTCAAGCTATCACCAGTAGTCAATTTGAGGTGTAATTACTCAGCATATGTAAATGTTTGCTCTTTATTCCTTTCTATATCTATGTACAGTTTATTTCAACGTCGATATCTTTAACAAATGATCTTTTATTTTTTAAATGTTAGTAGTTTTAGCTTCATTCATTCACTCATTTTCCTCTATGTTTTCCACCAAAGAAGAGCTACTTACCATAACGACACACTGTTTACTTGAATCAGTTAGCATAATGGTCTTAGTAGCCTTTCAACAAATGCTTAGTAAATGTGAGTAAAACCAAACACTAGAGGATTAGATTTTTTTAGATTTCATTGATTTGAATTCTAATAGTTTCATATGGAGTCCTAATGTTAATTTCAATCAAATATGTGTGTATAAAATAATGTTCCTTGTGTTACATAGAAGAAAGCCATATTCCGAAAATCCGAACTATGGTGTACAGTAATGTACAATAAATTATATCCAGTACAACATGCTAAACTCTAGGATTGTGTGTGTCTATCTCAGATGCAGCATCGCCTGTGGCCTTGGCCTACGCAGAAGAGCTGGCTCGTCATGGGGTCAGCATCATCTTCATCACAGCGGACCCTGATGCTGTCAGAGACACGGTTGCATCTTTGCCTCAAGCTTTCGGAGTTGAAACTGCTGTCATTCTTGCTGACTTCTCTCTGGACCTCCCTGCTCTCAAAGCCATCCAAGAGGTCATTCGGCACAAGGATATTGGTTTTCTGGTGAACTGCGTGGAAGAGGCATTGACTTTCCCCCAAAACCTGATTGAAGTGAATGAGGAAAACCTAATGCAAGCGGTGAAGAATAATCCTGCAGTGATGACTTTGCTGACCCGCTCGGTGCTGCCGCAGATGCTGCAGCGGAGCAGAGGAGCTGTGGTCAATATATCAACAGGAGCCAGCAGCAAACCTTTGCCTGGGAGAGTCCTGCTCACTTCGTCTATGGTGAGATGGAGGCTCAGTGCTCATGATGGACTTCTAATTTTATATTTAGCCTGTCTCTGAAATCACTGGCATGTGTTAGAATTTCCGAGATTACTCTGTGTTTGAGTGTTTGTCAGTAATATATTTTGTGATGTGGAGATACGGATAAAGATTAGATTATGTATTTCGAACACATATTTTTTCATACGTATATCAATAAAACATACAAATAACTAGTACATGGTTCAAAAAGGGGTGGTATTAAGCATATAACACAGGCCACACAATACACTGATATAACAATATCATGCAGTGGAATTCAAAAGCACATAAGTGTGCAGCACATACAGTAATACAAGATATGGCACATGAAACATATGTTCTTTTTGTTTCAGGGTTTCTTGGACCAGTTCTCTTACGCACTGCATCTTGAGTACAAGAGCAAAGGAATTTTCGTCCAGAGTTTGTTACCCTTTCAGGTTAGTTTATTTTGAACCTTCATTTAAAGGTTCCGTATTGCGCTCTTCTTCATGTTTCACAGTCCATCCTATGCACATGTGTGATAATAATTTGAATGATACACCATACAACACTCAAAACTTGTGAGATTATAGCCATCTCTTGCATAGAGGTGATGTCACCTCAACTCAAACAGGCTTATCCAGAGAGAAGTCAGCTCCTCTGTCCGTGAGCCCGCCTCCCTAATTATTTAGTTTACAGAAGTATACGCGAGTTAGCGTCACTGTACTTACAGATCAGGGCTCACTGTTAGCCTCTTTTATCGTGGGAATAACACTAGTATCCAGATCAGCTTTTGAGTAAGTCCAGTTCCATGGTAACTGTAGTTCTGGAATAGTCTTAGTGAAGTGTCGCAGATTAACAGATTAATTCAAACGGAGGCAGATCCCCCTGAAAAAAAAAGTCGAGCTGCTTTGTTCCTCTTTGGGCCAAATATATCGCATCACAAAAAACACATTTTCTCCAAGGTGACATGATCCTAACACTTTTAGTCGCTGACAAAAGCAGAAAAACAGTATAGACTCGGGAGCTGGACTCGGGAGCTGGACTCGGGACTCGGGAGCTGGACTCGGGAGCTGGACTCGGGAGCTGGACTCGGAGCTGGCTGTGCGCGCTGATTCGCTGTTTCGATTTGTCAATCACCTGGATTTTAGTATTATTGTTATTTTCATTATTTTTGACAACAAACAGCATATTTATTTTGAATTCTTTTCCCTGTTTTGATGACAGTATTTAAGAACCATTTTACAGTGCCTTGCGAAAGTATTCGGCACCCTTGAACCTTTCAACATTTCGCCACATTTCAGGCTTCAATATGGAGGACTGTGGCTGCCAAAACAATAAATATATACAGAAATAAATAAATACATTTAAAAAAGACAACATTTGCAAAGAAATGCATGCAATTATGAGAATAAGTGCATTTATTTCTGTATTTATTTATTTCTGTATTTATTTATTTATTTATATATTTATTTATTCATACATTTATTTATTCATACATTTATTTCTGCATTTATTTCTCTTTTTCTGTATTTATTTATTTATTTATATATTTATTTATTTTTGCATTTATTTATTTATTTCTCTATTTATTTTTTTGCATTTATTTTTTTCTCTTTATTTATTTATTTATTTATTTCTGTATTTATGTCTGTATTTATTTCCGTATTTCTCTTAATTACATGCAAATCATGGGGTGGGCCGGGATGCCTCTGCTGTAAGCTAATTGGTTAATCTTTTTCCTTGCTCAGAATCAAAATCAGAATCAGAATCAGAATCATTTTTATTGCCACGTAAGTAACAGGAGGTCACAGACTAGGAAATTGCTTTGGCTCAGTGCAACAGTCAAAAAGAGATAATAAAAATAAGAATAAAAAACACTTCTAAAGAATAAATTTAAATTTAAAATAGAGTTACAGTTACTATTTACAATATACAAGTGCACATGGTGCACACAATGTAAGGTGACAGCAGTACAGTGAAGTAAAGTGACGTATGATGGGCAGTAAAGTGACTTTATAAAGGGCGGGGGGACAGGTTAAGAAGTGTTCAAGAGTCCAACAGCAGAGGGGAAGAAACTGTTCTTGTGGTGGGACGTTCTAGTCCTGATGGACCGCAGCCTCCTGCCTGAGGGGAGTGGTTGGAATAGTCCATGTGCAGGGTGAGAGGGGTCGGCTGTGATACGACCAGCCCGGCCTCGAGCTCGGGCGACGTACAGGTCCTGCAGCGATGGAAGGCTGCGGCCGATCACTTCCTCTGCAGAGCGCACAATGCGCTGTAGTCTCTGTTTGTCCCTGACTGTGGCTCCAGCGAACCACACGGTGACGGAGGAGGTGAGGATGGACTCGATGATGGCCGTGTAGAACTGCACCAACATCTGTGCAGGCAGCTTGGCTTTCCTGAGCTGCCGCAGGAAGTACATCCTCTGCTGGGCCTTCTGGATGAGGGAGCTGATGGTCGGCTCCCACTTGAGGTCCTGGGTGATGGTGGTGCCCAGGAAACGGAAGGACTCCACAGAGGTGATGGGGGAGTCCATCACGGAGGGTGGGGGCGGGGGGACAGTGCTCTTCCTGAAGTCCACAATCATCTCCACTGTCTTCTGGGCGTTCAGCTCCAGGTTGTTACCACTGCACCAGGACACCAGCCGGTCCACCTCCCTCCTGTAGGCGGACTCATCGTTGTTGGAGATGAGTCCAATGAGGGTGGTGTCGTCCGCGAACTTGATCAGCTTCACGGAGTCGTGGCTGGAGGTGCAGTGGTTGGTGTACAGGGAGAAGAGGAGGGGAGAAAGAACACAGCCCTGTGGGGCTCCTGTATTTATAATCCGAGAGTCCGAGACATTCTTCCCCAGACGCACTCGCTGCTTCCTGTCCGTCAGGAAGTCAGTGATCCACCTGCAGGTGGAATCGGGCACGTTGAGCTGGGGATGGCAGGATTGTGTTGAAGGCAGAGCTGAAGTCCACGAACAGGACCCTGGCGTAGGTCCCCGGGGAGTCCAGGTGCTGTAGGATGTGGTGGAGGGCCAGGTTAATGGCGTCGTCTACAGATCTGTTGGCTCTGTAGGCGAACTGCAGGGGGTCCAGGAGGGGGGAGGTGAGGGACTTGAGATGGGAGAGAACCAGGCATTCAAATGACTTCATGACAACAGACGTAAGTGCTACAGGTCTGTAGTCATTGAGTCCTGTGATCCTGGGCTTCTTCGGGACGGGGACAATGATGGAGGATTTGAAGCAGGCTGGGACATGGCAGGGCTGCAGAGAGGTGTTGAAAATATCCGTGAACACAGGAGTAAGCTCACTGGCGCAGTGTCTCAGAGTGGCCGGAGACACGTGGTCCGGGCCAGGAGCTTTGCGGGGGTGCAGCCTCAAGAAGAGTTGTTTAATCTCTTTAGCGGCTATTGTTAGGCTGGGGGCAGGGCTGATGGGTGGGTCGTTAGAGTAGTGGGGGGTGGGGGAGGGAGAGGTGTCAGGAGCAGCATCAAAGCGACTGAAAAATAAGTTCAGTTCCTCAGCTAGCTTGTGGTCGTCAGCACAGGGGGGGGCTTTGGGTTTGTAGTTGGTGATCTCCCGTAGGCCCCTCCAGACATAGCTTGTCCAGCATAGGCGGTCATGTTGTGTTGTGTTCTCGCTATAGCCATGTCAGAACGAAAAAATAAAAATAAAAATCTCAAGCATTCTTCCATATTCAACAATTGCATTGTGTGTGTGTGTGTGTTTTTTGTCCGGCTCGTGAGAGGCTTCAGTATTCTTGCCAAGTATGAAGAAGTCTGTGCAGAATACTGCGCCGCTGCAACAAAAACACGTTTCTGAGTGTGGAAAACGACCGGACTCTGGGCCTGTAGAACGAGCGCCTGTAACCGTCCCCCACCCCCCACACTCGCGCCACCGTTTGTACCATGAATATGGCTCGGTCAGTGCTGTGGCCGCGTCCACTTTTCAGTCTCCCTCAGCCTTCACTGAAAGCTGCAGTGTCTTAGTGTAAAACACACACTTCGAACGTGGGGTTTTTCGGTGGACTTCAGCGCTTTGTAGTAAAATACACACGAGCACCTGTCACAATTGCATTGTGTGTGTGTGTGTGTGTTTTTTTGTCCGTCTCGTGAGAGGCTTTTGGCAAAGGCAGTGACAGGTGCTCGTGTGTATTTTACTACAAAGCGCTGAAAACAAAAAAACACACACACACACACACACAATGCAATTGTTGCATATGGAAGAATGCTTGAGATTTTTATTTTTATTTTTTTTGTTCTGACATGGCTATAGCGAGAACACAGTGATCTCAACACTCCCCCTTGCACCCCATGCAGTTTGGCTTTCGCCAAAACCACTCCACAGAAACAGCCAATTGTGTCTTTGTAGAAACTGTCAAATCCATGCTTGACAAAAACACCTGTGTTGGTGCAGTCTTTTTAGATTTGAAGAAAGCCTTTGATACAGTAGACCATCAGGCCCTTCTCTCTAAACTGACCCAATTTAACTTGGCCGAGGAAGCTCTTGCTTGGTTCACATCCTACCTGTCTGATAGAAGACAGTGTGTGAATGTGGGTGGCACTGTGTCGTCATTTCTAGAATGCCCTGTAGGGGTCCCACAGGGTTCTGTATTGGGACCTATACTTTTTTCTGTGTACATACAGCAGTGGCTCACCAACTCATCTTTACTATTAAATAAAAAGAAAACCGTGTCAATGATGTTCTCAAAAAAATCTATTAAACTGGGTCGGTCCAAAGTGTTCCTTGGAGACACTGAGCTTGACCTTGTTGAGGAGTTCAAGTTTCTCGGGGTCATTCTGGATTCAATTCTCTCCTTTAAAAAACATATTAAACTCACAGCTAATACAATAAAGTATCATTTACATAACTTCAAACAAATCAAGCCTTTTATGGCTATAAATTCAGCAAAAATGTTCCTACACGCAATGATTTTCTCACACATAGATTATTGTATCACAACCTGGTCACTCACTGGACAAACACATCCAAATCCATAGAAACCCTCTTCAAAAAGTCCATTAAAATTCTGGATCAAAAGCCTTGGTCATATCATCACTGCAATATCCTGGAGAAACACAAAATGCTCAATTTTCAAAACTTTATTAATTTTAAAAACTGTTGCCTTATTTACAAAGCACTTCATGGTCTTGCCCCGCCCCCACTCTCAAATTACATTAAAGCTAGAGTAGTGACAGGTCTCCGCACCCGAGCGTCCTCCAGAGGAGATGTGGAGATCCCACACAGAAAAACTACATTTGGACAAACTGTGCTGTCGGTCAGAGGAGGTCAGTCTTGGAACAACCTTCCTACAGACATAAGAGAATGCCCAACATATAGCTCTTTTAAAAATCAACTAAAACACCATTTTAAAGTAAATCAGTCCTGCACTCATTTTAACTGTAATTTCTATAATTGTATATTGTCCTTTTGTATTATTATTGTTGTGTGACCTGCCTCGGGACTACGGATGTAAATTAGCAGTTTTGCTACAATCTGGCACATTTACAATTTGTGTACAACTTGTATATGATTGTTCATTAATGTGTGTTGTCCCGATCAAATAAATAAATAAATAAATAAAACATGACCGCCTATGCTGGACAAGCTATGGAGCAAGGAAAAAGATTAACCAATGAGCTTACAGCAGAGGCATCCCGGCCCACCCCATGATGTGCATATCATTAAGAGAAATACGGAAATAAATAGAGAAATAAATAGAGAAATAAATAAATAAATAGAGAAAAAAATGAATAAATAGAGAAATAAATAATTAAATGCAAAAAATTTAAAATAAATAGAGAAATAAATAAAAAAATGTAAAAATAAATAAAAAAATACAGAAATAAATAGAGGAAAAAATAAATACAGAAAGAGAAATAAATGTATAAATGCAGAAATAAATGTATGAATAAATGTTTGAATAAATAAATATATAAATGAATAAATAAATAAATATATCAATAAATATACAAAATAAATAAATACAGAAATAAATGCACTTATTCTCAAAATTGCATGCATTTCTTTGAAAATTTTATCTTTTTTAATGTAATTTTATTTATTTCTGTATATATTGATTGTTTTGGCAGCCACGGTCCTCCATACTTCAAACATAAAGATGTAAAAAATAAAAAAAATTGTCAAGAATCAACAACAAGTGGGACACAATCGTGAAGTGGAACAAAATTTATTGGATATTTTAAATTTTTAACAAATAAAAAACTGAAAAGTGGGGCGTGCAATATTATTTGGCCCCCTTGCGCTAATACTTTGTAGCGCCACCTTTTGCTGCAATTACAGCTGCAAGTCGCTTGGGGTATGTCTCTATCAGTTTTGCACATCGAGAGACTGGAATTCTTGCCCATTCTTCCTCGCAAAACAGCTCGAGCTCAGTGAGGTTGGATGGAGAGCGTTTGTGAACAGCAGTCTTCAACTCTTTCCACAGATTCTCGATTGGATTCAGGTCTGGACTTTGACTTGGCCATTCTAACACCTGGATACGTCTATTTGTGAACCATTCCATTGTAGATTTGGCTTTATGTTTTGGATCATCGTCCTGTTGAAAGATAAATGTCCGTCCCAGTCTCAGGTCTTTTGCAGACTCCAACAGGTTTTCTTCCAGAATGGTCCTGTATTTGGTTCCATCCATCTTCCCATCAATTTTAGCCATCTTCCCTGTCCCTGCTGAAGAAAAGCAGGCCCAAACCATGATGCTGCCACCACCATGTTTGACAGTGGGGATGGTGTGTTCAGGGTGATGAGCTATGTTGCTTTTACGCCAAACATATCGTTTTGCATTGTGGCCAAAAAGTTTGATTTTGGTTTCATCTGACCAGAGCATCTTCTTCCACATGTTTGGTGTGTCTCCCAGATGGCTTGTGGCAAACTTTAAACGAGACTTTTTATGGATATCTTTGAGAAATGGCTTTCTTCTTGCCACTCTTCCATAAAGCCCAGATTTGTGCAGTGCATGACTGATTGTTGTCCTATAGACAGACTCTCCCACCTCAGCTGTAGTTATCTGCAGTTCATCCAGAGTGATCATGGGCCTCTTGGCTGCATCTCTGATCAGTCTTTATTTGTTAAAAAAGTTTAAATTATCCAATAAATTTCGTTCCAATCACGATTGTGTCCCACTTGTTGTTGATTCATGACAAAAAATTAAATTTTTATATCTTTATGTTTGAAGCCTGAAATGTGGCCAAATGTTGAAAGGTTCAAGGGGGCCGAATACTTTCGCAAGGCACTGTAAATAAATAAATAAAAACAGGATTATGCGCATCATATTTGTCATCAATACTCTGGGAATATGTATTCAGGCCAAATAGCGCTGTATTGATGTTTAAAGCAGAGAAAAGTCAAAAAGCATGATATGGGACCTTTAAGTTTTTGGATAATAATTATGTTTTACTGCTTTTAGATTGCTTCAATCAAAGAAAATTTAAGAGAGGACTGGTTGATACCAAAACCACAGGTGTATGCCCACCACGCCATATCCACTCTGGGTGTGTCCCACCGGACCACTGGCTACTGGCCCCACACTCTGCAGGTTTGAAGCTGTATAAATACAAAGCTTATCGTAAATGCTGTCTTTGGATATGACTACGTTGTTTTGTTTTTGTTTTCAGTATGAACTGATCCGGTCTATTCCAGATTTGATGTGGGTCTTTGCATCAAGGCTGTTCATCAGTTAATCAGGAAGAAGACACATTATCTTGACAACTTGCACTCCATTCATATTTTTATGTATTCGAATTGCCAGCTTTCCTGTTCTCTATAGAAATAAAAGATGTGTATTAGAAAATTTCCATTGAATTAAAGGTCACTACATTGTATGAAATAATATTTGTTTCTAAAATAATCAAGCTTATGTTAATGTTCTTTATTCTATTGGTTCAAAATCACTTCAAACCCAGTGCCCTCTGATAACAAAGATATTTCCCTTTGCACAACATCTACAACTGTTTACGTTGCAGTGTTTTCCACCAGGGTGAGTGGTGGTTGAGTTGGAATGGTGTTGAAGGCCACTGGGTCTCTGTTGTTCCTTTAAACTTTAGAGCAGTGTAAATGATTGACATGTGCTGGCAGACTGACCCCGATCAGCAGGTCATCCTCATGCATCCTCTGCTTCAGGTCACAGGTTGTTTAAGCACAGAACGTGTGAGGCCTCTGAGCTGCTCACCTGCAGATGGAACAATCGAATATGTGCAACACTCAACCTATTTCATTCAGTCTTGCATGTTTTAAATAAATAAACAAATGAATGAGCTATACAAACTGAGGACAGTGGTGATCCGGGACATTTATTGACGTTTATCAAAATTTTTGGACAGAGGACAATGGCTCCTCCGCATCCATGTGGCTCCTATGTGTTCATTTCTATTACATTTACTGTGTTCAATCTGTTTTATTCTCTGTTGTTGGTGAATCGACACCTCCAAGATGACTGCTGTTGTGATTTAGGGCTGTAGTGTACACAAATGCATTGAATTGAATCGAAATGATGATGGAGAAATGCACGAGAGTGTAACAACTTTAATGAAACATAATAATAACAAATCAATCACCACCAATTATAATATTTTAGTTAAACCTGGATTAACGTTGATGGTTTGTTTGTGTAAACTTTCAGTCGTACAGGGATTAGTCAAAGCAATGGAAGGTTTTTCACCCATCATCTGTACTTTTTAGCAGGTTTTCCCAGTTGTTGATGGTTTGGTTTGAATAATAATACATACATTTTCCTGTTTTTTTAATGCACTACACAGAAACTGTATATATATATATGGATAAAAATAGATGCAAATCAATGTTTAGGTCTCTTGTCATTTAATACGTCTGTAGTGTGGGACAATTATTTTGATGATATTTTGGAGGTTTATCAATCCCCATTTTTACACTTTCACTCAATTCTGTTTAAATGAATGTCTTGGAATCTCTTTGCTTTTATTCATTGAGCCCTGACAAGATAGAGCTAAATTCATACAACAAAGACAGTCGTACAGAGATTAGTTAAAGCAAAGGAAGGTTTCTCACCCATCATCTGTACTTCTTAGCAGGTTTTCCCGACGTTTCGTCCTTCATCTAAAGGACTTCTTCAAGGGAAGTTGAAGAATTCCTTTATTTGAAGGACGAAACCCCGAGACCAAGACCAATCAGGCTTTAAAAGGGGACAACAAACCCAAGATAATATCAGGAAGACCCTACACATAATAGAAGAAATACAAAAAAAGAAGGAAAGTGCTATTCTGCTAAGTTTAGATGCCGAAAAGGCCTTCGATTGTGTCAGTTGGAGGTTCCACTTCCTCCATCACTGCAGAAAGAAAGATTTGGTCTTAATACACAATCAATTAACTTCATGAAAGCACTGAATAAATATCCAAAAGCGAGAATTTAGATAAATGGTAGTTTAACAAATTGATTTAGGGCTGGAAAGATCAGCCAGACAGGGATGCGTGCTATCCCCAACGCCGTGTGCCATCTTTATAGAGCCTTTGGCTAAAGCAATAAGAAAGGACAAGGGACTAGAAGGAGTTTTAATCAGAGATAGAAATCATGAAGTTGGGTTACAACGTCCTGATATACTTCAAACAACCAGAAAAATGCTTACCAAAATAATGGACAAATGGGTTGCGTAATTTAAAGAACAAAATACTGAGGAATCATGGTATAAAATATATGAAACTCGAATAACTACCTCTTAGTTCTAGAAATTGTAAGTTATACTGTTGGAAGTACATTGCACAACCCTTTATCACTCAAAAAAATTAAGAAGGCAGCATCATCAATAAATCAACCTTGCTGGAGACTGTGTGGCGAACAAGCTGTGGGACATGCACATATTCAATGTAGCAAACATGTTTCTGGACTTCTATTAGTGATAAGATTGACAAAATATTTTAGCAGTCAAAAACTTGGCTAGTGTTTTAGTTGGGGGGGTGTAACATGAAGAGACAACCCTAACCCTAAAAGAAGATTATTATTTTTTTAATATTTTCTGGCAGCCTCAAAAAAAGCGATAACACAAAAATTTTACAATAAGTACCCCCCACACTAAACAACTGAAAGGACATTGTGAAAGAAATGTACACCGTGGTTAGACTTACATTCAGCATTAAGTTGCAACAAGCAGCATGTGAAAACCACTGGATCAAGTGGGAAATCTATGTAAATGACAAGTGACCCTATGTTCTATTGTATATATTTTCTGTTGTGTTTTGATGTTGTAATGTAAAAAATCTCAATAAAATTTAACACACAAAGGCTGCTACATTGATAATACACATAAGACGGACATGAAACACAACACAATACAATACAATACAATTTTCTCTTGTATAGCCCTAGGTCACAACAGAAGTCATCTCAGAGGACTTAACAAAACCATTGAAATCACCAACACAGATCAGAGAATCAACAGTTAAAACACATGAAAAATATAAAGCACACACAGAAGAAAATGTCCATACATGTTGTAGAATGCTAAAGTGTCCTGATCATCACCAATCCTTTCTGTTGGACACTAACTGTCCAACAAGACCCTCCTGCATCGACAAGGAAAAACTCTTAAAAAACCCAGTGGGAAAAAGTGAGAAACCTTGGGGAGAACTAGGGAAACCCACAGGGAGGGAGACCCATTTGAGAAAGGGATCCGCTCCTCCGGACGGACAGGCTAATGATCCAGGACCTAAGCTAGCTACAGAACGTGGACCGGTGGCCGCTGAACGTGGACAGGTCCGGTGCAGGACTGAAGCGGGTCGGGCGGGGCAGTCCGACATAAACATAACATAACACAGACATAAACCACTCAAAACACAGGGGTGATAATCAACTATTGTAGCCACACCTGCCCTGAACATACTGACCAAAGCGAGGCAACCAGTACTGTATGTGCCGCCAATCACCACCAGCCATCTGTCCGTCCGTCCGTCTGTCTAAAAAATAAATGTCCAAAGGTTTCTGCAGATTATTTTGGTAGCGATGAGATTCACATCTCCCCAATATTATTCTCAAAAGTCCTTCTACAGGCCATTCATTATGTAGTAGTGTGGACAGTTTGTCCGCCCACCAGCTGGGGGCGCCAGACGCCACGCTATAAAACCCTGCAAATTGTTGACGTTTGTCCTGCTTGCCGTCTGTACTTCCGGGTGCTGGTGCTCGGCTTGAGTGTGCGTGTTTGGGTGTCGGTGTTGTTGTCACTGTCACTCCCGTATTCGTCCCGGAAACCGGATTCGTCCGGAAGTTCAGTTTGATCCATTGAGCGTACGCAGCAGTAGATTACGTCACGAAATCTGGACGGAAGCGGAAGTAAATATAAATAAAAAACTACCTATTCATGCCTAAACTTAACCAGCCATTCCCATAAAATAACCCCAATCCAGCCTTAACCCTAAACTTAACCATCTTATTTAGACACCTAAACTTAACCTGTCACCACTTAAGGACTTATTACACTTTTTGAATCCGGTTTCCGGGACAAATACGGGAGTGACAGTCGGTACGCCGCGTAGCAGGTAGCTGATGGCTCTGGAGCAGTGTTGGGCACGTTACTTTGAAAAAGTAATTAGTTATAGTTACTAGTTACTTCTCCCAAAAAGTAACTGAGTTACTAACGGAGTTACTCCACTATAAAAGTAACTAGTTATTATCACATAAAAGTAACTATTGCGTTACTTTTTCGTTTTGTTCTGGAACATAATGTGCACCCGACGTGCGCATTTTTACCTTTAACAGTGCCAATATTTCCATCTAGAAAAGGCTGTTTTGCTGCTGAAGTCCTGTTCACTCTTCATCTCTCACTGTGCTGTAAAGCACTAAACACAAACACCCGCCTCCACTGTGAATGTGGAAACACCGGTGACGAGCGGTGAGGCTGGTGAAGCACTGACTTCAGTCCAATCAGATGAACATATACATCATATTAATCAACCGCGGTGAAGTTAGTTTGAAGTTGGATATCCGACAGACATTCGCCGCAACATTTCAGTGCACCCGTACTACACACAGTACGGTAAACACGCGGAGACATGTACGCTGGTCTAATATTTACATATAAAAATTCATTAAAAATACTTAAAACACTTTAATGATCAAAGAAGAGGTGTACCCCCTGCAGCTAGTGGAGGACTATGATCCTGACCTGATTTGGAGTCAATAGGTCACATGACCTGGAAGCTATTGAGCTAAAATCCTAATATTTACATATAAAAATTCATTAAAAATACTTAAAAAAAATTAAATGACAAAATAAGAGGTGTACCCTTTGCAGCTAGGGCAGGACTATGATTCTGACCTGATTTGGAGTCAATTGATCACATGACCTGGAAGCTATTGAGCTAAAATGCTAATATTTACATATAAAAATTCATTAAAAATACTTAAAACACTTTAATGATAAAAGAAGAGGTGTACCCCCTGCAGCTAGTGGAGGACTATGATCCTGACCTGATTTGGAGTCAATAGGTCACATGACCTGGAAGCTATTGAGCTAAAATGCTAATATTTCCATGTAAAAATTCATAAAAAATACTTTAAAACATTTTAATGATAAAAGAAGAGGTGTACCCCCTGCAGCTAGTGGAGGACTATGATCCTGACCTGATTTGGAGTCAATAGGTCACATGACCTGGAAGCTATTGAGCTAAAATGCTAATATTTGCCTTTAAAAATTCATAAAAAATACTTAAAAATACTT